TAGGAGGATACAAAAGTATTTTACCAGCTTCAAGACTGACAAAACGCATGGGACGGCCATGACCCTAGTTCCTTAATCAGCTCCGTCCCTCTGCCCTCTCTCTCTTGGACTGATTCTGAGTGTATTGAAGCTCTTACTGAAGTATCTTCGAGCTTTGCTTTAGCAAAACGTTGTTGAGTGCCAGTGAATCGTTACTGCCAAGGTACCACGCGTTATCATGGAGAAACGGTTACGAAGCGGGACACACACCAGTGCTGCTGTAAAGTTGCACATGAATGCTATGGCACCACCACTGCTCAGTTGGGCACACCTTTCGATGACTGGGGTGCTTACTCTGTGAACATCCTGGCAGACCTATCACTCATTCTGTACTGACTGTACTCTACAGCGCCAACAATCCATAGCGCGCAGTCGCTGCAATGAAGGCATTTGTAGGGGCATGCCATGCTAGCTGACGATAGGCTCTGCATTCTGGGGCTTGAGTCATGAATAGACCAACTGTCTGCATTTCGGCGGAGATGACCTCAATGTTATTTATACAGCGGAAACGGTGCAATACAGCAAGATTTACAACAGTTACAACTGACCAGAGACGCCGAGACCTATGCATTGAGGACTGCAGAAACTTTAGCACTAATCATGGACAGATTCCCAGATTCTTCTTGGAATAGGTGGTAGTGGTTCCCGTGCAAGAAAACCTCGTCCAATGAGCCAATGAGTGGGACAAAGCCGTGGCCAGAATTCGACTCTGTGCGGAACAGCATGACATGCCCCTTGTACTGCGGCATCACATGCGCATAGAGTGTATGGATGTTGGTGAGGGTGCAGACCTCGATGTTGTGCTTCAAACATGCACCTTGCTCTCCCATGTTGCTGAGCGGCAGCTTGATGATGCTCATCACAGTCAGTAGGACAACATGCGCGGCCTCTTCGATCTGTGTCTGCGACAGCTTGGCCTCATGCATCGGGTGCACCGATGTGTGAAGTACGAAGAGTTTGATGGTCCAGCCCTCATCCTGCGCGAGGCGCGCCATCTCGACTGCGACATATCCACTGTAGGAGTAGCCTAAGATGTTAAATGGTGCGGCATCGGACTTGGTAGTACCAATGCGGGCCAGCTCCTCGACAATATGCGCATAGTAGTACTTGGCGTGGTTCTTGACGGTGTGGATGCCCGGATTGCACAAGGTGTTGGCGTGATCTGTGGACACCTGGTCTTGAGGGAAGTCATCGGGCGTGACATACCCAGGGTCATTGAGAGCTATGACATTGAACAAGTTGGTGGAGCGAGACAGCGCAGCGAATGTGTGGCCGAGACCAGTGGCCATGAGAATGCAGAACAAGAATGGCTTGCGAGGCTCCTCAGAAAAGACAAGCACAGGGGGTACGTGGAACTCCTCGTATACCTGGGCAAGCGTCAGAGGTGTCATTGATATTTGATCAACTGGCCTAGTGGCAATCGCCTGCCTGATCTTGCCTGCCATTGCCTTGCCTACAGGCGAGTGGAACACATCCATTAGAGCGAACGGGATGTTGAAAGCTTCTTGCATTTGGAAGACCAAACGGGAGGCAAGGAGCGAATGGCCGCCCACATCGAAGAAGTTCGTGAACTGACAAATAGATGTGCAACCGAGAAGGGCTTCCATGATCCTACAGAGCTGTTTCTTGACCTCATCTTCAGGCTCGCCTGATCCGTCTTCCTCTGCATCATTGTTCAGCATGCTATTGACGTTGGTTGCAGCACGGGCTCGGAGCTGATGGTGGTCCACCTTGCTGTTAGGCATCAGAAGAAGAGTTGGGATCCAGCACACGAGATGGAGAATCATATACGACGGAAGACTCTTGTGCAGCAACTTGAGGAGTCATGGTAAGAGGGAATGAGATTGCGAGGCCGATGTTGGTGCAGCAGTGACAGTGTATGCAATGAGCAGATTGTCTTTGCCTTTGTGGGACTTGAGATGGACGATGACGGCATCGTTGGCCAAGTCGGTTTGGCCACTTCGATCTCCGAGAGCTCCAGCCACTGTCCGCAGATCTTGATCTGGCCAGCGTTCATCCTCCCGATGAAATGCAACTGTCCATCCAGGCCCCATCTCATAGCATTACCCTGCACAAAGAATGAGACACATAAGGAAAGGACAAGCGGAGGCGACATACCGTGCGGTAATACCAAGCCACACCTGGGTTGAGTTCATCGAACCCAAGCTCGACGAAGGCCTTGGCCGACTCCTTCGGCCACCTCAGATACTCTGGACTGACACCAGCACTGCCAATCACCAGCTCACCGACCACCAGCTCACTGACCACGCCCGGGGGCACAAGCCAACCCTGTGTGTCG